TACCATAGACTACAACAAATACTGACTGTCCACTTCTTTTGGAATCTCCAAATAAAAATCTATTCTTCTTTCCAAAAAAATCACTACCAGAAATATCACCATTGAACCTCTTTTTCTACTAGCAGTCCACCGCTGCTAAGTAGCCATCATATTATTCTCTATTAGTCGAGCTCTTTCCACAAGCTTAGAGAAATAAAAAATATGAAATGGTACCAAGGGCTGCCTCAAACTATCCCGAAGTCCCCTCAAAAATATATAACACTTATCAGCAGAAGTACTCACCAAATGTGGAGCATATCTTGCCAAAGCAGTAAACTCTGCCTCGTACTGCATAACTGTCTTACTCCCCTGAACCAATCTCAGAAAAGTCTCCTGCATTTGTTGTCTTGAAGAAGGCGGTACAAACCATGCTTTAAAGACTTTAGAAAACTCTTCCCACGAAATTAAAGAGTTTAACTTACCCTGAAATTTCTTCTTCTGCTGGCCCATCCACTAGCGCTCTGCTTCACCATCCAATAGAAAGACTGCCAATTGTACCTTTCTATCAGGAGGATATTTCATACCAACAAAAGTTTTTTTCAACCTCCTCAACCAATCATCTATTCCTCTGGGCTCAAAAGTGCCCTCAAATCTCGGAGGCTTCAATCTCAAAAATATTTGTAGATGTATATTTATCTCTTCAGATCTCACGGTATAAACTCTATTATGTGTCTCGCTTATCATTTGGGCTATCAGTGTGGCAAACTGAGAAATTGTATCTGAGACAACTACCGGAGAAGAACTATTCACAGGAGCTGCCTGACTCGCACTCCCGCCATGTAATCTTCCATGAACAATAATTCCCTTATCACAACAATTTCATTAATACAAACACTACAACCACCACTCCATCCATTCCTCCTCTCCTTTTAATTCCCACGTCCACCTACTCAACTTCAACACCGCCTAATCCACCTCTTTCCGATCCAATTCAACCTACAAACCAATGTCCAACCACGGTTCTACTTGATTGTAATTTCGATCCTCCTGCACATCAACCCACACCCTCCCTACCATCCTCCACAAACATTCCATCCCATCCTATGGAAACCCGTTCCAAAACTGGTCAATTAGAACCAAAGAAAATATATGATCTGCTTGCTGTCACAGATGCATCATCCATACCCACATGCTACACACATGCTTCCAAACTTAAACACCAGAGAGAAGCCATGTCAGCTGAATTCGATGCTCTTCAAAAACAAGGTACATGGTCCCTCACGCCACCTCCTCACCATGCTCCGGTACTTGGCTGCAAGTGGACCTACAAAACCAAAGTTCATCCATATGGTAAAATAGACCGCTACAAAGCAAGGTTTATAGCACAAGGCTACACATAAGAATATGACATCAACTACAAAGACACATTTAGTCCAGTAGCTAAAATGAAAATAGTTCGTGTCCTACTAATCATAGCCACTCAAAGAACTGGCCAATACTACAGTTTGATGTAGCCAATCATTCCTCCACAGAGAACTTCAAGAGGAGGTCTACATGCAACAACCACAAGGATTCATCGACAACAACAATCCCACCCATGTTTGCAAACTACACATGGCCATCTATGGCCTCAAACAAGCACCACGTCAGTGGTTTCACAAGCTCACCGAATTTCTTATTCAATTTGGGTTCAATTTCAGCCGAGCAGCCCTTCGTTATTGGTCTACCATTCTGGAGCTGTCCAACTATATATAATAATATATGTAGATGATCTTCTACAAATAGGTAATCATCCTCAAACCATGGACACCTTACTACTCCAACAACAAAGCACATTTTTTCTCAAACAGCTAGGCACATCTAGTCTGTTTCTCAGTATTCAAATCAACTACACTCCAACGGGTGCATTCCTGCACCAGTCACACTATGCCCATGATCTATTGCACTCGTCGGGGCTTGACGACTGCAAACCTGCTAGTACACCCATCTCTCCAACCAGCTCCAGGACGGTTCCGAACCTCACACCTTATGAAAATCCAACACATTACTGGCAACTAGCAGGATTATTGCAATACCTCACGGCAATGAGAATCCATACATCGCCTTTGCAACCAACATGATCTGCCAACATATGCATGATCCCACGGTCCATGACTATATGAAGCTTAAGCGCCTTCTTCGCTATCTAAAAGGCACACAGAACTTTGGTCTACCCATCTCAGTGGGCTCTTTAGAACTTACCACATACAGTGACGCAGACTGGGCATCAGACACAGTAGACAGAAAGTTGATCTTTGACTTATGTACATTTATGGGCAATACCCTCATTTCATGGAGTGTAAAGAAACAACCGTGCCAAATCATCCAATGAGGCTTAATATAGAGCTCTTGCTTCAGCTATCTCAGACGTCCTCTGGTTAAGGCGTCTTCAACTAGACTTTCAGGTGATTCACTCCAAACCCACCAATATCTACTGTGATAACATCTCCACTCTAGCACTCACCAACAACCTTGTCTTTCATGCGAGGACTAAACACATAGAAATCGATCACCATTTCATAAGTGATCAGATCAAGAAACATGACATAACAGTATCCCACATCAATTCAGAAGATCAGCCATCCGACATACTGACCAAGCCTCTTACAACAGCCCGTTTCACTACTTTACGACACAAATTAACCATCAGTAAACTTGACACTTAATTTGAGAGGGGATGTCAAGACACTCATTAAGTTGTGCATTAGGTTTATCTTTGTAATGTGTTCTTATCATTGTTGAACACTATCCCACTCTCACTGTGCACTGACAGTTTCTAACGACCTGGACTGACACCTCTGAATATTCAGCTCCCTCAGTCTTTATATATTGTAAGATAACATAATGAAGAGAAAGCTTTCATCATTCTACTATTCTCTTCTCTCTAACGATGTTGCTGCAGGTTCTCCATTAGTTCCAATAGGTGTGGGCCATGAGGTTATTTAGAGTGGGTGACTCTTCTAGGTCAGCCGATGGATCAGCCGATGGATTAATTACGCTGCCAAGTAACTCACAAGCTGAGGTGACTATTAGCACTTCGAAAGTATCAAAGGATTATTGCTTATTTTTCTAATGCTGCTTTTAGATTCCACTTCTGAATATTAGGTAGAATGTGGCACACAATTATTGACTGTGATCAATGAAGGCTGACCTTTATCTTTTCACTATAATGGAAGAAAACTAATTAAAAAAGGTCAAAAGGTTAATAATGGCGATGAGCTTTTTTCAAAAGCTGTTGACCTGATTCTTCAATGGTTATTACTTTATATTAGGATAATGTAACAATTATGGGTTTTCACCTGCAACTTTATTATATATTAATTAATTATTAACTTAATATTTAAATTTTGGGGTGCTTGAGAGATAATCAAATTAAATATATAGTTTAATTTTTTTGATAATTAAGTATATTTTTAATTATTGTTTGTTGTAAATTAGTTGATGAATTCAAAGTTGCGCCTCAATTATATCAAAAAATTACTCTCTAGTTCAATCAATGAAGAGAATATAAAATAAGAGAGATAATAAGACATTTAGAGTGAGAATCTCTAGGATTTTGTGAATTGAAGGAATTTGAGAATAGAAAATTTTAAAGCCAAAGCTTGACCTATGTTTCTCTATTTATAGGTTTGGTCCAAGGTTTAAAGGCCACAATTACTCGAGTAATAAATACTTGACAATCAAGCTAAAATATAGTATGGTAGACAATATTCGAGGCGTGTAACCTACGATGGTCGGAGAGATCGTAGTTGGCGGGCGACGTTGGTTTGGTGACTGTCGGGCGGAATTTCAGCAGCGGTCGAAGGTCAGGTGCAAGGCCAACAATGGTCGACATCGAGGTAGTGGTCCAACGATAGTCTGTTTGAAGTATGGTGGTAGGGCGGTGGTTTGACGATGGTCAAACGAAAGTTCGACGGCGATCGATGGCCAGGTGATGGTTCGACGATTGTTGGGTGCAAGTCAGACATCGATCTACATCAGAGTGGAATTCCATCCGTGGTCGGTGGCCAGGCGGTGGTTTGTCAATAGTCGGGTGGAAGTCCGACAACAGCCGGCGGAAGGGTGGAAGTCCAACGGTGATCGGTGACCGGACGGTGGTCCGGTGATGGTAGACGGAGGTTTGCCGATGGTGGTGCTGGAGCTCTTGAAGCTCAGAGCTCTCTCCAATTTGTCGTAAAAGGTCCTCCCATTTGTAGAGAGTGAGGATCCATCTATAGATTTCTCTTGAGTGGACACACCCCATAAACATAAAGAAGATATGACAAAGGTTCAGAGTGCTCCATAAGAAGTCACGTATTTATTCCCCTGATCATAGAGCATTTTTTAAGTGTTTAAGTTCCTTAATTATGTCGAAATTCAACGATCCTAGGCTCACTCAACTTGTCTCACCGAGCCGCTATAAGCATGTTATATTTGGACATAATTTCATCATCCAATTAATGCTTTGAACCTTATTTAAGACTCTTAATTCAAACCCATTTGGGCTCAGATTGGACCGCTTTTGGTGTCGTTGGGTTTGTCTTTTCGATACGTTTAGTTCAAACGGTCTCACATTTAATTTCTGAAATTTTCAACTTAAATATGCATCGAGATTAGCTCTAGATCAAAACAATTTATTATTAATTATTATAAAGAACCTTATTATTTATCAATAATTATAACCAATTAGTGACGTATTGATGAAAACCCTTAAATAAGTATATATTCTTACCCCTAAAGTAAAAAAAAATGGGAAATTTTTTTTTGGGACATTTAGGCCATTTAAGGCAAACTCACACACACACACACGACGCATACACATAGACTCGAATCTTAGACCTCTTAGATGAAAGCCTTAGCTCTCAACCAATACGCCAAGGAGAGTTGTGTAAAAATGGGAAATTTCATAACTGTTATTAGTCCATGACCATCCGTCGTATTTTAGTATTGTTTAAAACTTAAATATCTCCGGCAGACCAGCAGAACTAATCTGCTCTCCATAACCACCCAAGTTAAGCCCCCCGCAGGCCTGCACCTTCATCTTCCCTGATACCTTTATCCTTTCAAACGCCACGAGAGCCACATTTACACATCTGGAGGTAGCTATGCGAGTCTACGGCGAGGTCGCCGCCTGTGCCCTAGCTCTGGTGGTGGTGGCGCTCACGCTGTTCGCATCGTTTGCTTCGTCCAACTCCGAGGGTGACGCACTGTATGCGCTCAGACGGGGCCTTTCTGACCCCGAAAACGTGCTGCAGAGCTGGGATCGTACGCTCGTCAATCCCTGCACTTGGTTCCATATCACCTGCAACCAGGACAATCGCGTCACCAGATTGTATTCCTGCAATCCATTTACCTTTACTTTGTATTTTGTTTTCTCTTCAATCTATGTTGTGTTGATGCTAGATTTAGGGCTGAGTGCTGGTGAGATTATTCGGAGGATGGAGAGCAGAGAAGCTATGGTGAGTGAAGATGGATCTATTAGTACTCCTTGATTGGTCGTTAGTGTCTTACACTTTGGTGTCCTTGGGTTATTATGGTCTTTCTTTTACTTGCCACTAGGCTGGGCAGAGTTTATTTTAGGTCAAAAGTACCTTAATATATCATTTCACGAAGCATTATAGAAGAGATGAGGATTTTAGCTCATACAGGAATCTAGGAACTTCTTCACAAACGTTTTAGCCGCGCTAACCGTGAGGAGTAGAGATTGGCAAAGATTTGTCTACGTGTGGAGTTGTTAGAACGAATTGGCGACACTTGGATGAGTGAAAGGCTGCTAGAAAGCCGTGGCCATGTGTCGGTAAGTAATTGGTGCTCGTCGTTTGTTGGAGCTGCTTATGGGTTGTCTGTAAAGCATTATTGAGGTTTGCCAACAATCTTTGATTATGGTTTGCCATGGGGTTGTTAGTTCCTTGGGTCGTCGGTTTGAAATAGTCTGCACGTCATCATAATCCTTTTATTCTAAGATCAACACGTAGAGTTAATTGAAGGAAGATGCTGAGCCTAAGAATGAGGGTGTTCTTACCATCTACTTCTCGGTAATGCTAAGAAAAAAGAATTAGTTTTGAATATTTTCCTTTTACTGGACTCAATGACTTCGTAATTTGATGTTGTGAAATGAAGTAAATCATTTATTATTATTATTTTTGCCACACATGTAGTTTTTCTTAATGAATTTATTTACCTTTTTTTTTAGGATATAAAGGCTATTCCTTTTAGACTGTGTTAGGGCCCCTTGGTCTATATCAATAACCTGGTCTAAATCGTTTCTTCCATATTGACAACAAAACCGATATATTTGGCGTGATTCTGTTCATTATATATTGATTGTTTCGTTGATGATGCAAGTACATGTATATTTGTATTTGTTATAAAAATGCAGATTTTTAAGCTGAAGGAGTGCAACAGTTAAATTGATGATGAAGATTCTGTAAAGCCAATAAGCCATGGAGGCTTAGCATTCAATTTTTTATTTTTTTTTTTCTATTATTTTTTTTGCAGGAAAAAAAATCTTTATTTTAAGCCAAGTTATTTGAGCATACTTTTTTTTGGGGCGGAGAATTAAGGGACAATGCCCGTGCTCACATACACAACACAAACACATTAGTTGGTAGCCTAAACACCCAACCAACAAACTAAGAAGAGCTATGTTTTAGCATACCTTTCTATAATCCATTTATTAACTAGGTGTATGGATTATCCAACATGAATTCTCTCACGTATGAGAAATATAAACTGACATATAAACTTCTAAGCAGCAATTCTGATGGTAATAAAACACTAGAATTTTTTTTTCATTGATGCCAACAACCAAAAATCATTTATGTGTGCACGTGATTTATTTACTAATGATCTTTTATTGGGATTTTAAGAACTGTGAGTCTTCTGGTATGTAGTCAAGTTTTATTCAACTTAGGGTGGTAAATATTATATATACTTTTAAGTATATAGCATGTAAGTTTTTTGTTTCGTTCATGGGACTAAGATTTACACTTTTATTATGCTACCAAATTGATAGAATTAATCTGCATAATTGACAAACCAAGCTTAATGTGATGCAGGGCATCTTAGGGTTTTTAGTTTATTAATACAAATTTAGGATCAAATGTACAAAGGAATCACAAGAGGGATTAATTTGTAGTTTGCCAATTGTTAGTTTAGGTAAACTTAGTTTCTTTGATGCAAATAAGAAAAACATGTATGTTGAGGAAATAGGTTTTTTTGTTATTATTGACTAGATATAAAAGTTTATGTATAAACAGACAAGATGAATATAAAATAAATGAAATAAAGTGGAGGAAATGTACCTTTAGAGATGCAATTGAATTTGATCTTTAAGTCATTTTTCAATTTTAAAGATGGCTTGGCTCTACATCTGGGTGTTGATAGATTTGCTACCAAGAAGATCATTTTCTTCAAAAGCAACATATATTTCCTTTTGAGATAGTGATATTTTCTTTTTGTTGTAAGAAAACTCAACTTAAAGAAAACTACTTTGACTATCCCAAATCTTTGGCGACAAAACACTTTTTAGAAGTAACATTTTACTTTAGAGATGCAATTATGATTGCTTTAGCAAGCACAATATCTTCAATATAAATAGTTAGTACGACAGAGCCTGAAACTGCATATCTAATGAAGATATAATGATACGTGATGCTATTCGATAAATTAATCTCAAGTAAAATGATGTATTTTTTTTCTTCAAATCAAGCATATGGACATTATTTGAATCCATAAATTGCCTTTTCATATTGGCATATTAATGCAACAACATGAAAAAAGCTATGGTAACAAATCAAGAAACTGCGTCAAGATTTGGGTTATTCATCATGCACAACTCTCTATGCAAGTCCACAAATAATTCATAATTTTCTTTAAAATCATTAGAGAATAGTTAAGAAGCTTAATTTAAGGCCACTTGATGGGTAGGTGGACCACACCACTCAAGGAAGCAAACAATTTTAAAATTATTTGATTTGAGAACCACTCTACTTACCTTATCTATCTAATTTGAATTTTCATATTTTTAAAAGTTTTCAATTTATTTTTATTTTAATTTTTTTCCCATTGTATTAGAATAAGTCATGGTTTCATGTAATAGAATTTATTGGGCCTTTAAGGTTTTCCGAGATTATCTAGGATTGAAAAGAGCCTATAAATAGGACATTGTTTTATATTTTTGAATTCATTATATAAAAATTATTTTCTATTTGTGCAAATTTAGTGTGCAAAGGTTTGATAGTTACTCTGGTAAAGCTAGATGGTTGATACCCTAGGGCTTCAGTGAGTTTTTAGTTATCTTTTATCACCCATATTCCTCTTCTTTTCAACACAATTTTTATTTTTTTTACAAAATCTCAATCATAGCTTCTCTCAATCTTAAAACACCTCCAACTTCTTCAAAATTTTCTCAAATATTCTCCAACATCCCTCATAATCTCTCAATGCCTCAATTCTCTAATAATTCTGAGAGACCCTTGCCAAAAGTTCTATATAGAAAGATAGTTTTCTACTATGAGCAACCAGATTAAGCATATCATAACACATTAACCATTTATTCAAAATTAATTAAAAACCCTAACATATCAAACTTTTGATCTAAAGTTCCTCTCCCTTTTTCTTCAATAAAAACCAATTCTTTGATAGCCTAGAAGTTTTAGCACTAAATATGTTCAAATCTTGAATACTTGTTTCACTAGCACCTAACTAGTTCTTTAACCGCCATCTTAAGAGAATACCAATCAAAGTGATGCATTCACCATAAAAATCCTATAGACCCTTTATCACATATGTTATTCTCCATATGAGCGACATTCCCAAGAGACCGCTCCATGTACAATACTTATATCAGGATGCCATAGATGAAGGTGTTACTCACATTCATTTGTTGTAGAGTCTAGCCTTGATTGATGGCCACAAATAGGAAATTTTGAATTTAAGCTTGAAAATTTGGAGAAAATGTCAATATAGCCTCTTCTATAGAACTTTGTGAATTTTTTGACAACTAGTCGAGCTTTGTATCAATTGATGGAACTATTCATTCGAAATTTAATTGTGAACACCATCAACAAACAATTGGTTAAACTCTAAAAGTGGGGACAACTAAATCCCATATTTGGTGATTGAGTAGAGTACTCATCTCAGCATCAATCTTTTTGTAATAGAGTACTCTGTGATGCTTTCTTATATCATGGGGGTAAATATAGATGACAAGGACATGAAAAATATATAAAATGAAGGGGATAAATAATCAAATGACATATAAGTGTGAATATGATGAGCAAGAAACTATGTTTACCTTTTTGTATGGCAATAGGTGGTGAAGTTTAGGTAATTCATGAGTTGGCGGATTCTAGTTGAATAAAATAATGCGGATATATATGTTCATGTGGAAGGAAGTCTAGTTCAATAAGAGTAAGGTTGTAATGGACTATGTAGGTATCAGAGCTTTTGGAGGAAGAGAAATAGGTGATGAAGAAGACTATGGGTAGGAGGCAGAAAAGAAAGCTATGGTCTTATGAAAATGAGCATTGAGTGAAGTGTACATGGTTGGGGATGAGGATCAAATGACATATAGGAGTGAATATGATGAGTAGTGTGTTGTCTTTTACATTTTCATAGCACAATTGGTAAGTGGAGATTAGAGAGGATGCTTAGTTGAATCAAACTATGTTGATATATATATATATATATATGCGCACGCGCGTATGTTTTTGCCATGCCATGGAAGGAGTTCAAGTTCATCTAGGGTAAATTCATAATGGAATATGTAGGTATAAGAGCTTTTGGTGGACAATGTATAAGTGGCATTGAATATGGGCAGGATTATAGAGAAGAGAAAGGTGTGGTCTCGAGAGTATAATGGATAATGATTATTAAAGCAAACGCAGTCAAATATCCTAGGTGTAAGTGAAAGTAAAGGCGTGTAGAAGTGTCGGGCAAGCACAAGTGCATGAGTGAGAGCATGCGAGCGGTATGGGATTTGAGGTTGAGTGCACGTGTTAGGTGTGAGTGCAGCTTGTTGGAAGTGAAAACTATAAACTGTCGAGAATGCACATTTGTGAGCTTGAATAGAAATCCTGGTGTTGATCAAGTTTGTTTTAGGGCAAATAAAGTGCAAGCAGGCATGGGCACTTCAACGATGTAGGTCGGGTCTTGAGCCAATCGTTGGTATGAGAAATTCGATGATGTTGGTCACAGGCAATAGTAGGCTGTGGCAACATAGATTATTTGATAGGTGTTAATAGGGTGCAACAGAACAAGACAAAGGAAGTTTAAGATTAGGATGGGGAAATTTTATGGTAGGATTTTTTTTTTTTCATACCGCGTTTA